GACCTAAATACCCTTTAACAATTTCCCCACCATTTCTTCCAACTCATATCCCAAGATAAACAAGGTCAATCGAACATTTAATTGTAAAGTAGGACCCAGACCCTGATCAGCCATAAGTTGCACTCCATAAAGTTATGCAAAGAAACCGACTGAAAAGAAGGAAGGAGAGTAATACACATGTTTGTTCCTTGATAAGGCAAAAGCATACAGAAGGCTTAGTCAAATATGTAAAATATGGTTTAAACATAAAAGACGGAATAAAGAGTCCATGCCTCCATGTAAGACGTCCGACATCTTTCGTATGTTCTTTCCAGAAAAGTTTGCATGTAGTTGATGAGATCACCAGCAAATTTAGGCATTGCTTGAGCCCATCCAAGTACCTAGGCAAACAGTGTTTGGTTTGAAAAAGACTAGATAGAAATGAAAAAACTGTATTCTGTTCTTATGATAATGAAACCCAAAATGTATTGGATCAGAAATTAAGAATACCTCTTTTGATAACAAATCTATTGCCAATAGTCCTTGTAAAACTGGCCTTCCCTTCTCAATTGATGGAGTATAAGAAGCAGCTGCATGTGCTCGTGGACGAAATGCAGCAGGGCCTATTCACAATTTTAAACAGAGACCAGAATCAGAAATAGTTATGGTGCATCAGTTACATCGCGTAAAGAGGATAGTTCTTCATGATTATCAATCTCCAAACTAATCTATCAAAGAGAGAATAATTCAACCAAGCATAGAATTTATCTTCACCTTTACATAATTACATGTTCATTCCGACAACAGTTCAGGTGAACTGCAGTCCTAGTAATAAAAATTGGCAAAATGATGCCATCTAATTCCATATCTCACTCTAGATGGCATCTACGAAATTAAATACAAAGGCTAAATAGAATGTGCCACAATGTCCTGGTGCACAAAAACACAGAACCAACATGAAATTGATGTTTCCTACTTAAACTGGAAAGTACAAACTGGAAGAAACATTACTCAGGTAAGCAATGGACATGTCCGGATGTGCTATAATGCTCCCTAATTTATTTGTAACGAGTACATACTGTAAATATGTTGAGATGACGCACTAGGGAAATAAAACAAATACTCTAAAGCAGACTTGGTATTAAAATTTAAAAGATGTCACTCTTAAAATTATAACAATTTATATGAATAGTGAAAAGATAGGAAGAGGTATCGGCCTTACATTCTCTACTTTCACACAATCATCTGTAACTTAAATAACAGATATTTCGACATCTGCCACAGGGACATGGTAAAACAATTTTGGTAAATAAGTTGAAAAGAAACAAATTGGCATGTTTGTTGAACAAAACTGCTGCAATTGCCAAAAAAATAGTAATAATCATAGTGACAGGGAAATTGAATTATTTTCAAGAGTCACAAGGTGCACGAGAAAAATAGATTTAGAAGCTAAAAGAAAAAGAAATAATCCTAAAATCCTGATAGATAATTGGATAGGATTTTTTGTTCTTAACGATTTATTTATCACGCGCTTTAGCCAAAATTCAATGAAAAATTTTAGATTACGCATTTGGGCAAATTTCAACCTGTAAATACACACACATGCACACTTGCAACCTGTGGCTTATCATGGTCACGATTGTTCCATGCAACATAGACACTCATTCAAAATCAGGAAGAATGCACGAGAAAGGTATATCAAGTCCTACTCTCACATCTGTATTCACAGAGAAATATACACACCAATTTTAGAAACTTCCTGCAGTCTCCAAACAATTTTTGGCATCTTCACCACAACCTAAATAAGAAGGCTACACAAAGTTCCCTTTGATTTCATTGTGCATGCTTATACTTTTCATCTCCCATACATCTGTCAAAAATCTAGTCCCTATGACTTGAAATCTTGGTTTGTCAAATAAATTTAATTCATTTAACTCCTAAACAAAAGTTACAAATAACCGATTGTAATCTCTTATCCCTTCAGATGCACTTTTATTATCTATATCACCCATCTATTTGTGAAGTGGTTACCTTGAAGTTTTAAAAGATTATCACCACCAGGAAAAAACTGAAGAATCCACTTCAATTAGGGAAAATTAGGGCTGAGCTCCCCAATCTTTCACCTGGGGTAGATATGGGTCCCCAACCTTCAACAGTGAGATTTTATTTCCCAGCCTCTTTAAATTTGTGAATCTAGGACCCAAGTAAACGAAACCATAACTTTCACGTGACTCAAAGCTAGAGGATATCCATTAAACTACTTAGTATTCTCTCTAATTCAACTGAAAGATGTGCAATTTTAACGTCTACATACATTGATGATTTCTATCACGTAGGGACCTCGATTCATATATTTAAATAGATTGGGGACCTAGATTCACTTTCAAATGTCGGGGACAGCTACCATACCACATGAAAGGTTGAGAAGCCCAAACTTTTTCTTTAAATTAAGTAGCTACCAGCAAGACTCGCCAATAATTAAAGTGATCAGAAGCAGTTCTACAGGTTTGAAACAAGTGCTGATATCATATCTAGACGTCTGCTTACTACCATAACAGAGATTCCTGAGGTGGAGGATCCATTTAATATCATCATGGAGCTACTATGGAGAATGAGACAATTATGAATTTACAGGAGCAAAGTCTAGAAAAGAACGAAACTCCAACATGCAACATAAAATGCATACAGAAATCATAAAAACAGTCAAAAGAAAAGAATGGTATACATAGATGCAATATTAACTAGATAAAAAGATATAAGACTTGCTTGATATAGCTTGTTGTACGCCTTTCCGATAATCTACAAACATTGTAGGTAAGAAGTGATCCTTCACAAAGTTCTCCACAAATGTTAGCAATCCATCATTCCTGCAAAATTAAGTGTAACAAAAATAAACAAATGAAAAAGATTTGAAACTACATTAATTACATATGCATCGGTTGCAACTCAAATAATAGAATGAAGGCGAAATAGAAAGAAGAGAGAATTTAATGAGGAAAACGAGTTAAAGTCAAAACGGAATGCGAAAGCAGCTGAATATATTTCCCCAAACAAAGATCCAGACACCAAGAGCAATATAAAGAACGTTTAAATTTGAACTGCTAGAAGGATGAAATATTTCAGAATTGAGACAATTACTTCAACTTTCATCTTTTCTTATTCTGATTATTCATCCCATGAATGACCTTGTTTGGTTGAACTACAAGCTCTAATATTTCTTTGAAAATTTTTGACTTTCCTAGTGTTGCCACTAATTTTAACCGAGTTATTATCAGCTCGCAAATCACTTCATATCCTATACGTGTTACTTGTGCCATCTCAAAAATGTTTTCCATTTAAGTTTTTATATTCTTGTCACGCTATTCACCATCTTAACTCCGAAAGTTGAAAAGAAAAAATTACCAATTGAATTTCTTAATTACCAGTCCTATTTCATAAAGCATGCAGCTTCTGTAAGTGTAGTAACACTGTCTTGCTGATTTTGATAAAAATACTCTTGCTTTTCCAATAATTATGCTGTCTTGCAGGTTTTCACTGAAAAATGTCACATTTTCAATCCAGTATGAGTTCAACTCTAGTACAACTTTGAAGATCAAATACGGACGACAGAGCAATTTAGAGAATTGTTTTACTTGACTTTGTATAGTTGGTTTAAGGCTGCAACCGTTAGTCCGATAGAAGGGTTGCCGAATTTTTTATCGTTTCTATCTTGCTTAACTTGATAATGCACTCCTTGTGTATTATCTTTTATTTTGATTTATAAAATTTACGTGATTACCTATCAAAAAAAACTCTAGTACATCTGAATTATCGCGGTAGCAAAATTTCAAACCTACAAAGCAGACTTAATTCGGATCAAATAATAACTAAAGCAGCTTATCATTAACTGATGTCTCTCTAAAAAATGTACAGGATGATAATAAAAGCATGTATTTTCACCAAGCCCTTGATCAGGTGATGCAAAAATCAAATCCTCGTCTCTTTTCGCGAACGTTAATATCTTTCTGACACCATTTAAATTAGCCCCTAATTCATTCATCATTTCAACCCAAAACAAGTCAACAAGCTAGAGTCATTATCCTTGCCATTTAACTCTAAAAATCTAAGCCGCCTATTTAGATAAACCCTGCACAGCTTCCAATTTCAAGCAATCCAAATATTCTAATAAAGATGACCCAATCTTCCCCTTGTAAATCCTATAAACTAAAATCAAATCTGCCACTAAAATCACTTATAGTCAGCATAACTTAACTCGTCCCACATTAATCTGATATGCAAGTTTATGTTGAAGAAAAGCTGCAAATTATTTCTCTGGTTTGAGGTTGTCTATGAAAAGTCAAAAAAAAAAAAAAAATAGAAGAAAAACTTGAATAGGTGAAACATAAAACATTTCATTCCTAATAATCTCAAAATGCAGAACTTCATCTCTGTCATACATGATATGTGCAGATTTTTAAGAGGGAAAAAAACAAGAAGAAGGGCTTACTTAATTATTGCAACATTTGCACAAATTTATTAAAACGTGCATTGTCAAGTGTAAGAAAGGTGTGTGTTGTACTCACCCAAGTTGAGAAAACTTTTCAGGAAGCATTGACGCAACTTTATCTGTAAACTGCAGATGCAGAGAGGGAGGAAAAAGGACAATTAGAAAATGTCCTGTAGATATAATACCTAGAAAAGTTACCAGCGAAGGTTTACTATTTCCATCCTCTCGTCCATACCTGAACAACTGGCCTGTACACAGATGCAGCTAAATATATGCCTTGCTCAGGTAACACTGCTGCAGTCCCATAACCTTCTTGGAGTACATTTGGTCCCCTTCTACTCCATCCTTGGCGAATAAGGTCAGCCCCTGAGTAAATTTAATGAATTGCAGGTGCACATCAGTTTTAAGCTAAGAGAAGATATTTTACACACACGCACACACGTGTGTGTGTGTTTGGTGCACATCAGTTTTAAGCTAAGAAAAGATATTTTACACACACGCATATATAGGGGGGGAGAGTGTGAATTGAGGAGGGTGGGGGAGGGGGGAGTCTAAACAGGCATCTGATGCAATTCACAGCTTCTATGATTACTAAATATTCTGACATATAAAAGATGGCTCCTCTTCTTTTCAATCCTTTTTTCCATTATTGTAACTTCAGGAGAGAAGCACTTCATGATCATGGTTGAACAACGGATAAAATTAACATGATATCTATTCCAACTGCTGGTACTGTATAAGCAGAATCTTTTTCATTAGATATATGAGACAAATCATGCCTCGGCAAAAGTTTATTTTGCATGAAAATGTATAACTGCGATGCTTTGAATTAATAAAGCAGCACTGTGCCATTGATTGCGAGTTCATATTAAAGAAGTTCATCCCCAAAACTAATAATAAAGACAAAATAAATACACTCAAAAGCCTCAAGTTAATAGCCAAATGACCTTTGACCAATCCAGGATGTGCAATATTTGTATTTTTCATGAATTAAATACGATTTTTTTTTTAATAAATTGACCAGAATGTACTGAGCTATTTCTAAATTCTCATAAAGAATTAGACCTTATTCCACTTTTTAGACCTCTTCTCCGAAACCAACTATTTCAAGGCAAAACAAAATATAAAAACACAAAAGAACCCAAAAATGGCATCAGTACATTCTTCCCATACCCTGATTAGGAATCGGTATAGTAGCATCTGTGAAGCGAAATGCAAAGGTAAGACCATCTTCTGACCTGTAAGTCATAAATATCAATACTTAATTATTGTTTGATTCATAGAGCAACTTTGCAAATTGCAACATACCAAAAACATAGTTCACGATGATGCAGGGAAACATTAATATGTAAAAGAATTAGTTAGAATAGGAATCATGGAAATATTTCATTTTAGCTTATACACAAGTCTAGTTAGCAATCACTATATTTTCTGTTAATAATAGGAGCATATATTCTTTCCTTTTTCTTTTCCTTCAATTTATAGGATACTCCTATATATAAGATTGATTGTAATAAATCATTCAGCCTAAATTTTAAGATTGTATCAAAGCTTCGGTTGTCAAAAATTAGGGCCTTTAAATTAGGGTTTCAAATTGAGCCCTAAAATTTTCCTTTTTTTAACCAATGTCTCTAAAGACATTGGCTAAATCCGTTGAACCTCTACCCCCCTCTATCTAGCTCCGGAGACCTTCTACCCCTTAAAAATTAAGTTGTTAAATTGCAAATCCTCATTCAATTTCATCAAGAATTTGAGAAAATTCTGAAATAATTGAAAAAAAAGAAAGAAAAAAATTGCAGCTTCTTCACTATACTTGATGAGTGTTCTACACTCATGATATTTATGTCACTTAATTCGTTATTTTGTCATCCTTGAGAGAGTTTTAGAGTGTTTTTATGTGTGTTTTGATGTTGTGATGTAGGTTGATGAGATTGAAGAAAATAAACAAAAGTTGGAAAGGAAATGGCTAAATTGTAAGAGATCTAAAGTTCGGGGACTAAAGTACAAATATT